GAGAGAATGTGTTAGTTTTTATTTTATGTAAACAAAGAGGCACATTTTCCCTAAAGTTTATTTTTTTTTAAAGAGAGAGAGAGAGTATTTTATTTATTTTTTAGTTTTTTGGCAGACACAACATCTTTGTTTGTATGTGGTGCTGAGGATCGAACCCAGGCCGCACGCATACCAGGCGAGCGCCCTACCGCTTCACATCCCCAGCCCTAAAGTTTATATTCCTAATACTATAGTAAATATATCATGTTAAACAAATAAGATAATTGATGCTAAAATGTCAATAAGAATTATAAAATATTCTTCTTTAATGTTGATTAGGAATATTCTTGGAGCAGAAACACTTGTTTATATAGTAAAATTTATTTTCTTAATATAGCTTTAATTCTTTCCTAAGTTTAAATATTTTCTAAAACTGGGAAACTATAGTTTGACAATGGTGTTTATTGGCTTTGGAGTTGATGCCTCTGACCCCTCCATTAAGTAAAATCTTCTCTGATAACAGCTGGTTGGATACTTCAAGTGTCTCTCCATTGTAATAAAGTATTTTAAATATCATTCTATAATCCCCATCAGGACAATTTTTAATGTCAGCATTTTTGGTTTTATATTTGGTTTAACTTTGATGTGATGTACTAAGAGAGCTGTATTTGATACTAGTCAGCCATTCCCCACTATGGGATTGTGGCAAGATTTCAGCATTCTTTAATGTTTTCATGGTTGAAAACCTTGGCTTTGTTTACATGTATAACAACAGTATTACAACTATGTGGTTTTACCTTTTCCCACTGAATCCATCCTATATTCAGCTACAATTGTATTTATCATTCCTTATTTTGCATTTATATAAGAATTCACTGTCTAAAATATAATTTTGTAAATAGATGATATTATATTGAAAAGAATATTAGGAAAAGTTTATTTAGAAGCCAGTTTTTAAAATAAGATTCAGAGCTGGCACTGTAGCCCAGTGGTAGATGCCTAGCATGCATAAGGTCCTTAGTTTAATCCCTAGAACTACAAAAATAAAATAAAATATGATTAATAATTCCAAGATTCTGACATCATTTTTTTTATTCATTTGAAACATACTGAAAAAACACTACTTCTGAAAAAAATAAATGAAAACTACATACAAATTCTTGGATTAGTAAATGAATTCCTAAATGAAATTATATAACTTTAAATCTTGTTTGTTTGAGGAAATGGAATATAAAGGTAGTTACTGTAGTCAACTAATATTTATTAAGTATATTACATGTAGTACTGTGTGAAATGTGCTGCTGTCTATGAAGTTCTTTTTATTAACTGTGTGAGAGGAAGAATAATTTTAAGTCATTTTAACAGCTATTTTCCTGCCATTATCATTGTTTTGATTTCTTAATAATTTTCACAATTCATACTTCAACTACAATTGATTAAGAGAAAAAAAACTGACATTAAGAGAGTGTGTGATACCAGAAAGAACATTATATATCTGGAGGCAAAATAAAAAACAGAAGTCTTTAAAGGAAACAAAATACAAAATATATTACTAGAGACTATATTAATATTAAGGTGAAAATGGGTAGCTTTTTATGATGCTTTATTGGTAATAAAATAAACAGGAGGTGTACCATATTTTAAAATATAGTGCAACATCCCAGGCATTATTTTAAATTTTAGTAAATGTATACTGGACTGTAGAAGTCACTTTTTATTTCAAAATGGCCTTCAATAGTATGTCTTGAATTTTTCAGATCATGAAATTGAAAAAATTTTAAGATTTATAAAAAATACCAGTACTAGTTCTGAGGTGACAAAAATGTGGTTGTATTACAAATTAAAGATAATTTTGAAAGAGAGGTAGTTAGCTAGGTGAGGTTAAACAAGATTAAATGATTTATGGCCATTTTATAATATAATGACAGTCTTCATTTTAAGCTACAATGTAAAGTGCTTTATTCTGAGATTAGGTATTGTGGCAGAAGCTAAAACTGCCTTTTTTATAACAGTGCCAGAATACAACCTCTTTTTCTTTTTGCGCTAACAAGACTGCTTTACCACCACAGCCCACTCTAAGTAATTAAATCAATCCTTTGTACTTACCGTATTCTCCTCTAGTGACGGTACTAGATCTGATTATATGCTTCATGCATATTCAAAGTACCGCACTGACAGCTCTTTAATGAGCTCTTACTTAATCAGTATGAACAATGTTCATCTTGTTCTTTTTTTCCTCGTGCATTAGAGCTAGGAACAGTTGGGAAAAATGAAACATCCAGCATTCATTTGAAAAATATATTGTACTTTGAAAAGTGTCTAAGCTGAGGAAGTTGCATTCTGCCCTTTAAAAGTCTGATGGACAAATTGGATTACTAGTATTGGATTAAATAACAAATGGTTAGAGGAGAAATGAGAAAAGCTCACTGTGATCACAGGCTTTAATATTTTTTGTTACTTATAAAGCTAAAGGGGTCTTTAACCAGTTATTAAAGTCAGGATTAATTTGTAATGGTTCAACTTACTGGCTTTTAAGAGCTTTTTAAATTAAAAAAAAAAATTTAAAACCCCTAAAAACAATAGTGTAGTGATGGATTAGAAGAAACTTTAATTTTTATTACTAGAATAGATTTCCATCATATACAATTTCAGATAAGGATTTAGTGATACAGATGTTTTTCAATTAATTTAAATAATCTATGTAACAATGTGTAATGTGTCTTTAAATATTTATCATTAGGCTTATTTCCTTTTGAAACATGAGACTCTTTTATTATTAGAGATTTCCTAACAATTAGAGGCAGGGGATCTTGGATTCTTACCTAGAAATCATAGGCATAAGTTAAACTGAAAATAATACAGTTCCACATCAATATTGTTATACTCAAGGAAGCGGTGTTCCATTGAAGAAAATGATGCTAATTTAAGTGTAGGCTGGTTGCTTCTAATATTGCCTGAAAGCCTCAATTAAAGGTTAAGTTAATCTCAAAACAAAGTTTTAATATGTCTATATTTTTAGAAGCTACTTAGTTTATAAACACAAGAATTAGGTCTTTAATCAGAAAATAAAATATCATAAAATCTACACCTATTAATATTGCACACATGTGTCATTTCACTGATCAAAAAAGCTTTCACCAGGGTACAATTGGCCTTTTTCCAAATTGCAAGCTTTTTCTCAGCTTTTTCTTTTTACTCTTTCTTCTTTTGTTGCTACCCAGGGATTTGTGCCTATCGCAGCCTGTATCACATGACCAGTGTCAAGACATCACATGGTCCAAAGTGAATACAAAACCAGCTACCCTAAAGGAGAGATTAAAAATACTGTAAAACAATAAAGACTTTTGTTCAGACTCTAAAAGAATCTATCCTAAGTCGGCTTCATACCATTTAGTTTTAACAGCATTTAATGAAGGCACATATCCCCACTGTTCTCCCCAAAGATGAATAATAACACGTATCTGTTTTATAGGGATACTTTGAAATACATGTTTAATCTTTTGTACACAGATCAGTTTTTTATATTCTATTTTATTTTTAAATATCTTTAAATTTTTATTAATGTAGAAATAGTTAAATTAATTATGGAATGCCCATAACTTATGCATCAATATGAAGTAGATATTTGGACACATGATATAATAAATCCTAGGACACAATATAATATGAACTCATATCTGTGAGAGAAATCTAGATGTGTTTATAGATAAAGTATATACATGTGTTTGATAGACAGCTGAGCTGTCTGATTTGGGAGGAAATATACTACTTCTGGAGAAGGAAAATGGAGTGAGGAGGTGAGGAGGGGTGGGGTCAGTGAAAGAGGATTTGACATTTATTCAATCATATACCTCTGTATTTTTTGAATTTTTAAAATGGACTCATAATATTTGAAATGTAAAAGAAACCATCTCACTTAAAGAGAAAATAAAACTTCAGGGATAATAGTCGTAATTGGGATATTTAATGTTTTGTCAGCTATTTAACTTAATCCCATGAATTCTATACAGATGTTGGACTGGTAATATTAAATAATGGCTTAGTAAAGCAATAAACCAAGCATAGGTGGAATTCAGGGAGAAAAGGCTAAGAATTATAAATTTGACTAGGTATAATTTTAAGGCAGAGGAAGGAAAAATGTGAGAAAAATCGATATTTTTCTTGAGTATAATTAGGGGCTACTTCTACCTGAACAATACTAAGTACATGGTGTACTGTATTATAATCCTTAATACTAGCTTTTGTTGGTGTGTTGTGGGGAGAAGTAGAGTGATACGGATGATGGAATGGGTATGAAGTATAACTTATGAAATCAGTAACTTTACAAACTTTAGATTGTTTCTCTAATCAAATGTTTTCTAAACATTATTTTCACTGTAATGTGTTTTTTTCACAGAGACCTGTTGGTGTCTTTTTGTAATACTCTCTCTTTCTCTCTCTCTCTATATATATATATATTTTTTAAATTTATATTTATACACACACACACACATATATATATACATACACATATATATAATCTTTAGTTTACTTTGAGGGAGGAAATAAAAGAAAAACTAAATTGATACAAGTAGAAGCTTTCACACAATCTTTGGACTTTTCTGATCTTTCTGCTAGTCTTATGATCCTCATAATGATTTTTCAATTTTTTTTAATCATGACCATATGTCTGTCATCACCATCAGTTCTTCACTGAAACATAATAGCCAGTCAGCCTCTAGGGAGGATTTAAAAGGAGGAACATTTTGTTTACAGTACTTAGTGTTAATATGATCTATAGGTATGTCCAGGGGGACTGAAATATACATGCTGAAAAATGTCAGCTTTAGAAGTTTGGCTTATATGTTTTAAATACTAATTATTTTTTCAGGTCCTGGACTTTAATCTTATATTATTATAAGCAGTTTTATATATAGTATTGGAATATTTAAAATATTTTTTGTAATGTTAAAAAACTTGTGCTAAACTATCATTTGGCTTATAAAATGTCATATAAATAAGAAGTAACTCTTTATACACAGCAAAGAACACAGAAGAAGAAGAAGCTATGATGCAAGAATGGTTTATGTTAGTTAATAAGAAAAATGCCTTAATAAGAAGAATGAACCAGCTTTCTCTACTGTAAGTACTCATGACTGAGCTTGTTTTTCCCTATAGCATTAGGCTTTCTGTTATTGCCTTCTTTAAAGTTTCCTATTTATTGAGCTCAATTTTTTTCTTTCCTTAGAAATTACAGTATATTTTATACTCTATTACAGTATGTTTTATATTAAAAAGTAAATATACATATATACATACATTTTTTCACTGTTTCCATCCAAACAGTAAAAATTTGTAAATGGAGTGATTAAACACTGAAAAAGTGTTTGTTTTACAAAAAGTCAAGGTATATAAACAGTTCTTATGTTTTGGAAATAAATCACTTGTGCAGAAAAAGGAGTTTGGGTTTATATTAATGGTTAGAGGAAAACCCTTTAGAAAAATAAAGTTGAAGTTTATTGAACAAGTTCTAAGTTAAAAATAAAATAACACTTTATAAGAACAAAAATACATTTGTTGTCTACAGATAATGTTAATCTAAACTTTGGGATAAGAGCTTAATTACTTAAATAGAAGTGACCTTTTTATGACTGTAGGAATTAAAGTTAAATGGAGAATAGATCAAATGTAAACATTCTAGTCTTTGGTGTTAGTTCACTAACGCTTGTTCCTTTCTGCTCACTAGCAAAGTTCTTATGGTATGCCACCTAGTGTGGGAATGGCCAGGTTTATCTTTTATTTTGTTGGAAAAATCTACTTTTATAATTCCTATCATTTATGAACTTGATAAAAGAATTATGATGAAGCACAAAACTTAACTAATCCAGAATCTTTGTCTCCATTTTTAAATTTGTGCTGGTAATATTTTCATGTTTCTTATATAATCTTTTCACATAGAGTTTTGAATAAAAGAGTGTTGATTATGAACTATAAAAAACATTTTTGAAAGTAGTCTTATATCTGGCACCTAATACAAGAAGCTTTGAAGAATGGGACTACTTATCCTCAGATTAAAATATACCTCTGTGCCATTCAAGAATTCAAAGAAGAAAATAATAGCATTAGTAAATATTCAGCTGAGAAAGATTTTAGGTTTTTGTATATCATTTGTTTGGAGTGGCTTAAAGTTAAAGAGAAAAGTCAGTTATGAGTCCTAAAATCAATGTAACCTAAAGGTTCTTTTAAGTGTTTAATGATTTAGTAATTAGCATATTGATGAACTTTTGCAACTTGCCTAGGGAAAAAGAACATGATTTGGAACGGCGGTATGAACTGCTGAACCGGGAATTGCGGGCAATGCTAGCTATTGAAGGTAAGAAATGCAGTGGTGGGTGAGGTGGATGAGGTGTCAATTGTCAAAGAGATTTAAAGAGTGCAATACATGTCTGGTTTTACTATATCTTCTCTACTAAGGTCTACAGGAATCATGTAAATAAATGCCTTGTTGGTAGAAAGTAGTATACATATGAATCTAAGGACTCTAATCAGATAGATAATCATTATGTTTGCTATTAAGTACAAAATTGTCTTAACTTTTGATTCAGGTAGCTTAAATTTCCATTAAGTGAAAAAAATAAGGAGAGTTGATTTAATTACATTTTACTTTTATGCCATTTAAAGTTATTTCCACTGAAGAGGTTCAGAAAAGATTTATCATTTTGATTTTTCACCTTAGACTCTAAATTTTACCATAATATTTAACTGATGTCAACATTAAAATATGTCACTGTGCAGTCTACTATAGATCTTAAGAGTCCAGCTCCTATTAAGTAAATAGTCAGGCAAAGATTGGCATAAGAAAAAAATTACACACTTTCACACTTTTCAGAAAGTTTTTTAACTAATTATATAGTAATTCTGTGCATGTTTATAATGTCAATAAATATTGGCCACCTTAACTATAGCATTTACTATGCATTTTTTTTTTTGTAAAAATTCCTAGGTGTTTTATAATGCCCTTCTCTGTACATATCTCTCAGTTGAAAATGCCTTATAGTTCAAAGATTTCTGCTTAAAAGCTAATCCTTTGGGCTCTGTAAAATGGATCTTTTGTTTAATCAATGCAAATTGATTTTCTTATTCTATATTGACCTCTTAACCCATTGACTGTCCATGGTAATTTTGTTCTTCACCTGATAAGGTACCTGATCCATAATAAGTCAATTCTAATTAGTTCAGAAACTAGAAATTTAAGTTTGTAAGGGAAATCCAAATGAAGTCTTATATTCTTAAAATATTTTAATATAATATTGTCATCAAGTAAAAAGTACCCTATTTATCTACATACTATCTTATATGTTACAGAAGTTTTATTTTTAATTACTTTTATATCCATTGTCTCATTTTATAAATATCAGTGACATTTGGATATTCTCATTTAGAAATTTACTTTATTTTGATTTACTTTATTTTAAAAGGCTTCAGTTAGCCAATTTCTTTCAAATGACTCTCTAAATGTATTAAATTATACCACTTATATAGGAAATAAAATTTGTGAAAATTATTTAAGCAGTTTTGTGAAACTTGCCATTGAAATAAAAATTCACAAGTACACTAAACAGTATTTTTCTTCCATAAGTAGTTTTTATAGTCATAGCATAGTCTTTAAAGGAGATTGGAATTGGAAAAGCTAAATAGTTGAAAAGTAGATGCAGCAATACTATTTATATAGGAATATATGTATATATATGTATATATATAGTATGTATAATATATCTCATTATACAGTATATTCTTTATAGATTCATTATACATTACACTTAATATAAAGTGTTATTGAATTTTTTTTACCCATCCTCTCCTATATAGAGTTGACTTTTAAGGCAGACATTGGTTCCATACCCCAAAGCCAGTATTATTAAAAAAATACTTAAAAAGGAGGACCTTATGCATGACAGTCTTATTCCTAATACAGAATTAACAGTCTTAAATAATCTAAAATTTTATCTGCCTAATCTTTTTATACATACATAGAAACAGTAGAAACTCATATTCTTTTAAGAAGAGGGGAAAACAATGTTTTTCTTTTTAAAATGCTTGTAGTGCAGTTGTCAGGGCTTTGAGTTATTGTTCTCTCTCTCCCTCCCTCCCTCCCTCTCTCTCTCTCTCTCTCTCTCTCTCTCTCTCTCTCTCTCTCAATTACATTGTCCCATATGTGACAGTGCCTGGAATCTCTCTGCCAGTTTCCTTTGCTGGTTGAGGGAAAAAAGGAGACTTGAGGAAAGGAACAGCCTGTTGATTACAAATAAAGACACTTTCTTGGAGAGAGAGGCCTGTCCCACTAGCCTGGGCAGGATGTGGGCAGGGCTCTTAGAGAGGTGCTGATCATTGTGAAGATCAACTCTCAGCCAGCCCTTCGAATGGACACACAAACAATTCAATAGCCTTTTTGAGTGTTAAAACACCACAGAAAAACATGAATAGTCAATAATAGTTGGTTTTGTTTCACTTTTCTTTGTTTTAAAGTTAATTTCTCTCTTCTTTCCTGATCTCTTCTTATTATTAGCCATAGATAGTTTAATTAATTAATAAAGAAACTGAAATCATTTCAAGTAAATCTGCTGCTGAAACCATTCATCAAGTGGAAGGCATATAATAGCCATAGTACACTGAAATAAATATTAACAGCTTGGTTTGAGAGAAAAAATATTCAATACATTTATTCTTCTGAGAATCTATAATCACTTTGGCCTTATTCTTACCCTTTTTTCCTGAGGTGTTTTCATAGCAGGAGTTTCACTCTACTGAGCTAAGTTGTAGGATCCCTCAAGCTAACAAACATCTTTTAGATACTTTTCCTATAGTTTTTTTTTTCTTTTTTTTTTTTTGTTCCAGATTATTTAATGCCCCCTTAGGAAAGATAAATTCATTTCTGCACACATTGGGGTGGGCTTTCAGAAAGTGGTATGTTCATTTTCTGCACAAGAAATGGATCTTCTCTAGGATTTTGTACATCTTGATTTATTCTTGGCTTAGAGTTTGAAGTGGGTGCTCTTCTAAAGGGATTTATGCATAGGTTCACTATTTTTGTAGTTATGGTTTATATGATAAGCTTTTTATATTTAAAATCAATATGTAATCCTGTGGAGGAGCTTATCCCCTAAAACCCCATTTGTAAATCTATTTTAGCTTTGTTACACAGCACAGCCACAGTCTTCCATAGATTGATTAGGTACAGCAGTAGAATCCTATCAAATGGCCTGTTCTGATGATGATGCAAACTCTTTCAGGATTGCTAGTTGACTGGAACTAAAGATAAGACTTGACTGCAATCCCCCAATGTGCTCTTTACAAAACTAGTGTTAATTTTCATCAAAGTGCCAGGCTTATTTATAGTGGCGAGGTTGAAGGTTTACTACAAGAACTTTAGGTCCTTTCTATTAAAGTGTTTATAGGTATTTCTCTTGCCTTTTTTCAAGGTAATTATCAACTTCAGCAAGTAAACTGAATTGGGGAATGAATAATTGGCCCTATATATGAAAAAGAGTTTTTAAATTAACAAAACAGCTCAGTGCAGATGGACATAAACAGAATCTCTTTATTTCAACACTTTGGCTTAAATGCAGCATCAAAACTTAATCCTATTTGTTGTGAGAGGATATGGCTTTTGTAGCAAAAGTACACTGGAATCTTTAAATTAATCAGAACCCACATTGTAGTCTGTCCAAGCCAAAGTCAGTGCAGCTAGCTAGCTGTGACTGGTGTTATAGGTGAGTAATCCTTTTTTTTAAATGCATAACAGGTAACACAGAAACTTACATGCAGATTTTTAAAACATGACATGTCTAGGTGTAGCTATTTAAAAGTGGATTTTTTAAATTTAGTCATGTGAATATCTTGTGTAAATCTTGACCAATTTTAAATGTAATATTTTACAAAGAAATGAGCAAAATAATTTTCTTAATTTCCAAAATTAGCATTCAAATATATATAATATGTATGTGTGCGTATATGTGTACATATATATGTAATTTATTTGTACTGTGAGAAAGCAAATACATAAAGTCTAATTTGGCTAATGTAGAATCTGTTCACTGCAATAGCTATTTGCTGTATAATTGACTAATATTTCAAAACAGATATTAATGTAGTAATAGCAGATTTAATATGCAAAATCCTATAAACTTGTGCTAGAATACTTAAAATTCTGATGTCAAATTTAACTCTTAAATGATGAAAATCATCAAAATGTTGTTAATTTTAAAACGTTTTTATTCCAATGGGAAATGTCATTAGTGAGCTTGGAAAAGTTAAGATTAAAGATTTTTTAAAATACTTCATGGATTAAAAAAAGTTTCCTTTTTTATCCATATGTTAAAAATCCTAATTTTTCAAATGTTAAAGAAGTGCTGGTATTTTAAGTTATTAATTAAAGCTGTGAAAGTGTCTGGTCAAGTTCATAGGAGTAATTTAAAAGAGTATGTGCCTGTTGTTAAATTTTATTTTTTCTTAAATTTTTAAAATTTTCAATTTGATAATATTTTTTGCATAGGGTGGAGAAAGTTTATTTCCTAGGTGTAAAGATGATATCAAAATGTTTTAGTAGAATTATAAATCTAAACTTATAATCAGGATGATTTCTTGAGGTTAAAAATTAAATAATATTCGTCAATGCTAAATTTAATAATTATAAAATTTTGTTAAAATTTTGTTATAAATTTAATAGAGTTTTTTCTGAATTAATATTTCTAGAACTGCAATCATCTGGATTTAGAATAAATGACCTTAAAGATCTTTCTAGCCTGGACAGTCTATTAATTTACTTGCTGGTTAGAATAAGATTATTTTAAAAACCAGATAGAAAATTGTACAGCATTTCTGTCTTTAGTTGCATTTTAAGAGAGTAAATTTGAGATAAATATGGCTTCTCTTAGTTTTGCTTATTAGAATTCTTTCACTCAGAAAAAAGGATTCCAAAATAATGGTTTCTTTATTCCTCTCCATGCTATAGGATATTTCACTTTTTAAATAAGAATATAATAATGATTCGTTATTTAATGTATTTATTTTGTGATGTTTTGTATCGAATGTAGATAATTAATATATGGCATGTTTCATTTTTATATATTTATGTGTTTGAGCTTATAATGAAAGGAATCGTGATCAAATTGAATAAACTATTCTAGCTTTTTGCGGCTATTCTAACCTTTATTGCATGATGATGCATCTAATTTTTAATTTGTAAATACAAGATAGAATTCCCTCTAGCACCATTTGCTTTCATAAAGCTGCTGAGCAGTTTGCTGTCTTGAATAAATTTTGCTTTGGAGGGGGTCGGGGGGGATTTGAACCAGCACATTCTTGTGTGGTTTGTGAAGATTCACATGGTAACCAGCGGTGTGTATTGTTAGGTTTATCTGAATAAGCACCAGCCATGTGAGTTTTAACATGATTGCCCAGGGCAATGGAGAGAGAAGAGAGAAACCCGAAAGGATTGCACTTCTCTGTTTTTTGGAAAGTGCATTTGTTGGGGGAGGAGGGGGCTGCAAAGTCAGTGGCCACGATTTTTTTTTTTTTTTTTTTTTTTTTTTAAGCTGGTGTCCTGTTTCCCTCTAGGTCCTCATTTGTTCTGCTATCTGCCTCATCATCTACTTCTTCTTTTCATTGTTTACCTTCCTAATGAGGGAGGCGGGGTAGACTGGGAATTGATTGACAGTTACAAGCCCTCACAGTCTGGCCACAGAGCAGTTGGCTTTGGTTTCAAAAGTGTTTTAAATGTTCGATTCGGTCCTGTTTTTATTAAATGAAACTGCTGCTCATCTTAAGGAAATTAATTATCAGACTAGCAAAGATTAGGGAATATATTATTGGGGCCTAAAACCTTCATGAAAACGGTCTCCACCCTTGGAAAGATCACTGCCCATCGGATTTTCCAACCTTTAACATGAGGTTTCAAAAAGAAATATGTTATTTTTTCCTTTGCAAAAGTGCTTTGATTTGAAACTACCAAGCAAACGTCTCCAAAAGAAAACTGGCTGTGATGCGATCGAGAGCTGCAGTGTAATATTGCAGAGCAAATTTATTTTTTACTTCAAAGAAAAATGCTAATTAGCCGATTCACTACTTTTAAAGTTATTGTGAAGCATATGGCGCCCAGTGTGAGATACATCCAACTGCTAAAATAGAGCGAGGAGGAAATTAGCGAAGAATGGGCTGTTTGAGGTGAGAGTGGGGGTGGAGAAGGAGGGTAGGTTCTCAAGCAGATTCTCTAGCCTTTCAGAATGATTTTATCGCCCATCTCTGTTTCCCGCCTCCTCGTTTACCAGCTCCAACCACCACCCTGGGCCAACCTCTCTGGCCTTCAGCTCCCCTCCCCCACTTTGCCTGGATACAGGTGCGCACCTCCCGCTGGCCACTGGCTCACACCTGGTCTCTAGCAGGTTCCAACCCTGCCGCACCCATCTCTATGTGCGGGAAATATTTAGAAAGTAGAGTTTTAGGGGTGGCACCCTCACCACAACAGCCAGACTCCATAGAAAACACTAGCTAGTGGATCCATTAACATAGTTTGCTTAGAGATATAAGGAAAGTGGAAAAAAGCGGGAAGGGGAGGGAGGGAGCTGGGGGTGCGGAGGCCTTGCCGTGGTAACTAGCCTCCTGTTCCCTACAGACTGGCAGAAGACCGAGGCCCAGAAGCGACGTGAGCAGCTCCTGTTGGATGAGCTGGTGGCCCTGGTGAACAAGCGTGACGCGCTTGTCAGGGATCTGGACGCGCAGGAGAAGCAGTGAGTGGATCTTGGGGTTGGGGTCCAGGTGCGGCTGCCTGCCCAGGGGCCGAGAAGTTTTCAGAAAGTTCAAACCAGAGGCCTAGGGAAGGGCGGGGCAGCTTCCTGCTAGCCCCGCGCTACCCATTCCTTTACCGCTGGGGATCCAAATACCGGCAAGTGGGGAGTGCTGCTCTGCCCTCCACGAAGAAAAAATAATTTTGTTTCCTGTTTGTCTGACGTCCAGGGCCGAAGAAGAAGACGAGCATTTGGAGCGAACTCTGGAGCAAAACAAAGGCAAGATGGCCAAGAAAGAGGAGAAATGTGTTCTTCAGTAGCCGTCAGACTAGAATCTCCCAACATTTTACTCTTGGGTCCCCAGGCCAGAAACAGTCGAACTCGTTGATTTAAAACTTTTAACGTTTTGTTTGGCTGAATTATACTTCTGTACCACCACCACCACCCATTTTCCGCCATCCTATCCAGATGATATACAGAACTCTAAAACAGCCCTGTTTTAGAGTTTTAGGATTGTGTGTGTGTGTGTGTGTGTGTGTGTGTGTGTGTGTGTGAGTGAGCTAGTCATGTTTTTGAAATCATGTGAAATAGATTTGCAGACACCTTGTGAGTGATTGGTATTGGAGATGTTCAAGAAACAGTTCAAAAAAAAAGAAAAATGCTTCCCTCATTGTTTTCCCTTATTCTTTTGATGGGAGAAAAAATTTGAAACCTTGTTGTTGTTGTTGTTATTGTTGTTATTGTTGGTGGTAATAGCATAATGACAGTGGGAGGGGGGTAACTGGGGGATAAGAAAAATGTCATGAATGATTTTTTCCAGTCCTACCATATGTACCACTTACTCTGTTACCTAAATTTCATAGTTAGATCATATTCAATATACTTATAAAACTGTTCTATTACCAGTGGGATTTTCTGCAGTTGTTTTGCATTTCACTGTAAGTATAATAGAGTTCTCTGCCTTCCTCGGAGGATGACCCTCTATGGGAGCCTGAGACAAGTCCTGTGGTTTGAAGGTGAGCTGTAGGATGGGACTCATTGATATGCAGCAGTTTACAAAGACAATTTTATCTTCTGAGAATGCGCCACCTTTTTCTCTGGAAAATTATTTATTACATCTTGCTTGGTTTCTACATTTAATTGGGTCCAGACATTGGGTCAAGAATGCTGTTAATATTTATTCTGTATTGATAAAAGTCTGTCTTGCCAGTACAAGTAAATCCCCCATTAATATTTTCTTCTCTAGCATAATAGTACTGTCATTTTGTGAAAATGGTTATGTTTATTTATTACAATACTGAGTCATATATAAATTTTCAATAAAAGCAGAAACTTTCTTACCTTAAATGCTGCTGCTGTTTTTCTTGCAATGAAAACTTGGGTGGAAGTTTAAGACTTTTCATGTGGAAAATGGCCCTCTGGAACGAAAGGCAGGATACTGCACTGTATTTGGAGTTGAGTAAGTTTACACCATCTCGGAGGAGCCCTGCTGACACACGAATGCAAATTGAAAACTAATTAGTCATATTCTTAACGAGTGTAAACTATTATCTCTTTAGGGAAGGGGTCATCTCTGTTGAAGATTTGAGGAAATTTGTGATTCCACACCACTGAAGAAATGCTAATATTATGATGAATTTTCTGCATTGTTTAATTGTTACAGTTTTTCAGTCATATAAAAGAGAACTCTGAACTCTGTCTTCGGATAACCAGCAAGTCTGTGGGTACTGAAGTGAAAGGAAGAAGGTTATTGTTGGAAAAGGTGGATTGGGGGAGGAATGTGTGCGGGTTTGTATGTATGAGATGAGAGAAAGAGAACTTCTAACAAGAATTTCTACGCCACAGAAAAAAAGTGGCTATTCTATGGTAGTTTCCATCACTCGTCTACGGGGTGTCCAAACAAAGAAAGCTCGTTCAACAAGTCCTGAAACTTAAGAGAAAACACTGGCAATTACACTTTAGCCTAGACATATCTTTCTCTCCCCCTCTCCCTCTCACTTCCTCTCTTTCTTTCCTTTTCTCTCCCTTTCATTCCCCCCCCCCCAAACACACACACACACACACACACACACAATTTCCTTCGAAAAGTATGCTGCTCCTTCTAATTGCCGGTCTTTCAAGGTGATAAAAACTTGCCAAGGTATAATTCCTTCATGACAAGAATTTTTTTAAGTTATAAAAAAGTTAATGGAACTAAATGAAATCGAGTATTTGCCCTCTTTATTCGAGCAAAACAGCGAACTGCTGCTCTCTGAGGAAAACTCAGAACCCGCTCTAACCCCTTGGGAACTCGCAGATGGAAACCGGCCGCCCCAAGCAGCCTGGGGCTTGGCGGGGACGGCACCCATCCTATTTAGGCTGGATTCCTGGAAACTTCCCCTCTGAGGGGCCTCGCAGAAAGGCGACTTTTCCCCGCCCCCAAGCCGTGCCGGACCAGCCAAGTGACGAACCTTCCCTAGCCCCAGATTTGCTAGAGTGGTTGGGGGCAGCTGTGCGACCCTCTTGCCCCTCCTGCTTCAGTCCCCAGGCTCACGGGGTTTCTATTTGGGCTGCTCCGCGGCGCCCGAACGCCCCTCAGCGGCGGTGGAGCGCGGACCCCGGGGACTAGCGAGGTCAGACCCGCGATCAGAGTGCTGGTCCCGACTTCGCTGCACAGTGCCCAGGGATAGGCTCCCAAGGGCAGGCTCCCAAAGGCAGGCGCGAACCCAGCACGCCAAGGGACCGAAACCCGAAAGCCCGCGCTGTCGGATCAAACACTGGGTCTGGGGGTTGCGCGGGGGCAGAAACGTTGGCTGCGAGCTGGCTTGGACACAGTACCCAGGCCAGTGCAGAACTTTCGCCTCTGGCCAGGAACCCTCGGCTCGGGATCAAAACTCCTCCCCCTGTCCCAACTGTCCTCCAGAGTCTGGTCTGGCCTCGAAGTCACCTGGATGCTGGATCCGGGTCTCGGGGCCCAGGTACCTCGCCCCCGCCTGGGTCACGGATTTTAAGCTGAGACGGCTTCCCCTCCTCCAGACCTGTCTCCACTTTCCCCTCCCCGCGCCGCCGTCGTTTGCTAGAATGGTCGCGGCTTCTGGCCCAGCGTTTCCCACCTGGAAATTTGCCTAGCGACCGCCGCCTGAATCCTCTGCGCAGCATTCAAGAAACTTTCATCTCAGTCCCGCTCCCTCTCTACTCTCCTCCCTCTCCTCTCCTCTCTCTCTCTTTCTCTCCTCTTAATCCCGGGGTTTTATGGGCTGAGCATTAAGAAAATTCGCCCACAATTTGGGATTAGATAAATACTCTCATTAGGGGGAAAAATCCTTGCTACTTGATACCTCCCGACTTCCCCGAGACTGGTGGCAGCATCTGGAACCGAGAACGCCGGACTCCTGCGCCGCGGGCCTTAGGGACCGCGCTGGCACATTCCAATGCGCAACTCAGCCCCACCTCGCCACGCCGGAACCAGGCCAGGTTCTGCTGCTGCCGCGAAACCACCGGGAGGAGGCGGGAGTACGAGAGGTTTCGGGATCCGGCCAGGGCACTTGTCCCGACACCGGAGAGCCAACCTGGGCACACAAGGCACAGGCCGAAAACTCTGGCAGCGCTAGGCTACCCAAGCGGACGCCCCCGACGAGCCCCACAGGACGTCCGCATACTCTTCCCCACAAACTAGTGCGCCCTAGGTCGCGCCTTTCCCTAGAGTAAGGGACAGGGGGATATTTCATTTCTATTTTAAAACCTCACAAGGATCTCCGTAGCTCCAGGCCACGGACAGCTGACCGTGGGCCTCGCGAGCTACTACTGGTGGGGGCCTGCGCAAGCCTAAGGTGTGTCCCCGCCTGGGCCAGAGCTGCGCCCTGTGCTGTATCTTTTCCTTTAAAGGTTCTCTAGGTTCTCCATCTCCCCCCAAACACACACCCCATTTTCTTCCTTTCCTCTCGTTCTTTTATTCTGCTTTCTCTTTCTCTCCCTTTTGTGAATGGGCCGCGGTGTCTTTGTTCTGGAGAGAAGCGCCCGTGTCGCTGACTTTTGTGAACCAGAGAAGGATCTTGTAAAACCTCCTTTTCTCCTTCGTACTCCCCCACTCCCACCCCTCCTTCCTTGCCCCTTTGATTAGATGTTCCCTCATCGTCCAAAAAAAAAAAAATGTAATTTCGTTGGTCTGGCGGCCACTTTCTTTGAACATTAGCTCGCTTTCAGCTCCAACTTCAATTAGAAGGAGTTGATTTTGAGAGATCAACAAAAGAACCGACCAAAGCCTTATTAAAGGTCCTAAGAAGATCTCCCGGGTCCTTTGAGAAGCAGTTAAGGAAACAGTGTGCCCTCCATCATATTCTGTTACCGTATTTTATTCGGACTCCAAAGGAAAGTGTCGCTTGGGGGAGGGGAAAGCACTTTGATGAGCGGCGGCTGCGGCCCCTTTTCACTCAGCGGGCTCCCCCTTCCTTCTCCTCCTCCTCGCCCGGCGCCCGGTCAGCTCTCTGTGCCCGACCCCGCGGCCAGGCAGCTCGGGCGCTCCCCACCGCGGTGCGCCTGGCGGCTCTTTGACTCGCCCTCACACTTACTCCCGTTCAAACTTTTCACTCCGCCTGTTGGGATGGGGGTGGTGGAAGATTAAGAGGAAGGGGTAAGAATTCCTCGAAAGGGAGCAAAGTGGTGCCTAATATTCAATAGGAGGTGTTCATTTAAAAGAATTGCCTCCTTCAGGGTTGGGCCAAAAACACTTTTTACAAAGTCCCCACAGGTAAATGTGCTCGACAAGTTTGTTCCACTGGGAAAGGGGCTTCGCCGGTACGAACAATCCGGGGAAACCGCCTCAAGGAAGCTTCTTCCACAACATGTGGAAAAGAAATTGAGGGGTAGGGGGTCTAGGGGCACATTTCCCACCAGACTGTCTCGTAGGTGGAGACGTGGAAGGGAAGGCAGTACGAAAAAGAGTTTCCTACCCAAACCTTAGATTGAGAAGTAGGGTGTGTGTGACAGAAAGGGGACACAGGGTTCCAACGGTTCAAAAGAAGTTTGTAACACTTGCAAACACCTTTAAGGACTAGGAACTCCTGGAAATGATGAGGAGCTGGTAAGTGGCGGCGCCTCCCCTGCGGGTGCTTATCCCAAGCGCGGGAGTCCAGGGGAGCTGAGGGATCTGCGCGCCCAGAACTGCTCCCGCGCTCTGCACAGTAGCTTGCGCCGGCACGAGCTGCCCGCGGCGTCTGTCTGCAGGTGGGGGTGAAGAAAGGAGACGCTGGGGCCCATCGCGCTGCGAAAGGGGCCGGGGACCCACGCTCCTCTAGCCCGCCGCCCGGGAATCCTCGCGCCCACACTCCGGCCGAGGAGCCGGGCGGTGAGAAGAGTCCGATTATCCTGCACCCCGCCTCTCTACCACTCCCTCGGGAGCACTGAGAGGGCGAAAGAAGGGCTGGGGGCCCCTAGGCAGGCTTCGGGATCCGCGGCCCCTCGGCGGCAGGGACTCCGGCGCTCAGTTAGCCCTCCTCGCCTTCCTCTGCGCGGAATTTGCCAGCGGAGCCCCAGAGTTAGCGCGCGACCGGGGCGGGGCGGGCGCGCGGTGAGGGCGGGGTGTAGAAGGCGGGGGAGGGCGGGGGCGCGCGGAGGTAACCCCCCGGCTCGCACAGCCATTGCCCGGCTTCCTGTCACTCAGCTCGCCCAGGGCCCCCGATTGGCGGCCTAGCCTCGTTACGCACTCGCTTCGCGTTCACATACCCGGGGAGGGCAGTAGAAAGGTGATCAATCTTCATCAGGCTACATTTCCAATCACCTAAACAACAGAGCAAGACAAGCCACTCCGACAAGGTAAATTGCTTCATTTATTTAGTTTGCAAAGTGACTCTGCAGGACTTCCCCAGTCCCCGCCGCCTCCACGTTGCACCAGGAGTGCAGCGGCAAAGGCCAGCCGAGCCTCCTCCCAACTCTGCCCCTCGCATCCCCCTCCCCCTTGGAGGGCCCTCGGCTGGGTTCCGGACTAGGCAATGTCCTGGGAGTGTGTGGAGCTTTGCAAACAAAGTGTGCAATAAAGTGAAACCTAGAGGGATACTCACAAAGCTACTGGGGAAAAAAATGGGAGGAAGGAAGTTGGGGAAAGAAAGAAGCCCGGGGTCCTCTATCAGCCGCCGGGGTAATTCCGGTGCCGCTCTGTTTTGCAGGTTGGCTGCCCGGCGGGTCTCTGAGGGAGCCAGGTAGATGGTGAGCGGCCCCGACAGCTGAGGGCAGGTAAGAAGAAAACCTCGGGGCCGCCCGGAACTCCGGGAGCGCGTTGGTTACTCGTGTAACCCCCTCCTCAGAACGACCGCGGCTTCCCGGGTCCCCGGCAGGTGGGCGGGGCTGGGGGAGCGGCCTGGCTCCCCTCCTGG